CGTAATCCACACACTTCAAGTTAGAAAACAACAACGCATTCATCCTTGAAGTGACGACATGAATCTTTATCAGCAAAAGAAGTTGCTTGTATACCACGCAAAATTGCAAAAGATTTTATAGCACAACTGTATCCTCCAAATTGGATTTGAAGGCAATGCACGCAACTTGATTCCTGTTAGCTAGTATCAATAGCAAGAAATCTAAAATATAGTCCATCTCCACAATGCAAGTTCCAGAGTAAAATTCCCACATTCCATAAACGAGTTACCGACAAACTCAACCTTCAGAACTAATCCAACTGCGACCAGGTATTTTTTTGACTCCTCTCTCCTTCATTTTGTTCCTCACAAGGGAAACGTCCAACCAGCGCTCTGTTGCTACGTAAATATTAGATAGAAGCACATAATTACTAGCATTCTGAGGTTCAATCTCTAATAGTTTACTAGTGACCAACTCGCCTATCTCTATATTGCAATGTAGCTTACAGGCCCTAAGTAGGGCACCCTATGCCCCAGCATGAGGCTCCACATGCATTAATTTCAGAAGCTCCTAAGCTGTTTTCAACCGCCCTGAACGGCTGAGAAGATCAACCATACAAGCATAATGATCTTGAGAAGGTACGATGGAATACCCATTTTTCATGGATTCAAATAAGTGCGAACCCTCCTCAACGAGCCCGGCACAGCTACAACCAGATCCGCTGGTCTCAGCCAGCGACGAACAGAGATTTTGGGGACTCCGCCGCCGACAATCGAAGGAGATAAACGGAGAGAGGGAGTCCGAGAGAGAGAAGAAAAATAAACGGAGGGAGAGAGCTTTGACTGAGAGAGCAAAGGTTGAGACTGAGAGAGGCTGAGGGAGGGTGAGGCGAGAGAGCACGAGAGGAGGCTAAGAGGCTGAGGCGAGAGAAGCGAAGGTTGAGAGGCTGAGAGTTTCAGGGGGAGGGGCTGAGGAGAAGTGTGCACGAGGATGATGGAGAGATCGGGTTATTTTGGGAATAACCAATATTTCATTAATGGCTCCGTTTAGCTTCCCGCAAAATCTGAAATCAGAAACAGCAAATGAACTGCTTCTGATTTCAGATGAAAAATAGCTTATAGATTTTTTAAGAATCTATTTTTATGTGTTTACCAAACACATTTCAAACTTCAACTAAAAAAAAAAGTGCTTTTGGCTTCCCAAAAGCATTACCAAACGGAGCCTGAGGCGAGAGAAGCGAAGGTTGAGAGGCTGAGAGTTTCAGGGGGAGGGGCTGAGGAGAAGTGTGCACGAGGATGATGGAGAGATCGGGTTATTTTGGGAATAACCAATATTTCATTAATGGCTCCGTTTAGCTTCCTACGGAATCTGAAATCAGAAGCAGCAAATGAGCTGCTTCTGATTTCAGATGAAAAATAGCTTCTAGATTTTTTAAAAATCTATTTTTATGTGTTTACCAAACACATTTCAAACTTCAGCTGAAAAAAAAAATGCTTTTGGCTTCCCAAAAGCATTACCAAACGGAGCCATAATTTACACATCCTGTTTTAACAACTTAACACTGGACATATAAACTTAAAACTTAAAAGTGCCATCCTTTTGAAAAGCTTGTGGCAGTTGGACTAGAACAGTTTATTAAAAGAAAAAAAAAATGAAGTTAAAAAGAGGAAATTACAATCCTTGGTAACGCTAAAACCTAGCCAGCAATTTTGTGTAGAAACTCATTACACCAACTGCTGAATTGTCGTCTCACTTCTGTTTCCACTCCTAGCTATTCCAGATCCTTCCATGGTTGCTGAGCTACTGTAAGGAGGTTGATTTTCTACTCCAGATACAGCTGAATTTGGCTGTACTGAGTGATCATACTTACAACCCGGTCCGAATTTGCATATACCATAGCGACTGTAATACGTGCAGGCATTCTGATCCTGGATTTTGGATGAAATGTTAGGGTCAACGAGGAAACTAATAATTTGGTTTAACTTCTTTTTGTTGGTAATATGTGATATAATTATTCATCATGTACAGAAAACCCAGTCACGCTCCAAAATGTGAAACTTACCGGTCTCAAAGGCAAGCCCTTGTCGCTAAGAGCACATGGGGGTGACACTGAAGTCCTTTTCTTTGGATGGTGATATTTGCAGTTGGATTTGAACTTGCAATCCCCCGTTTTTAAGAAGTAATTGCACTCAGGTTGGCCAGGTCGTTCCGGGTATTCGTCAACTTGTTTCTGTGCATGATGCGGATAGTTATTGGTTTCAGTCGCTGGGTTGTTCATGACATATGCAAGAGGTGGAGGCAAGTTCCTATCTGGTAGATATACTGGGGCCTAAACAAAATAAATACCAAAGGAAATTAGCATGCCTCTTTTGGTTATATAACTGAAAGAGTTCCACAAACTGTAGCTTGAAAATGATTCTTTTGCTCTAATCTGTCATTCATTTTAGTGAATGCAAACGAAAATGTAGTGACGGGAAATGACTTGAGTTTCCAATAAACAAGTGGACCCAATGACAATGCAGTTGATAGACTTGGAAGCTATATAAAAAAAAAATTTCCTCAGGGTTATGTCAAGGGAACAATATTGCACTTGTGCAGAAAATGAAAAGGCATATAAATATTAAATTGCAGTGATTATGAATTGCCTAAGACAGAAAGTTATCTCAATCTTGAGGTGTCTTTGAATTGCCAACACAATACTCCCAATTAAGTTTGTTCTACTACGCATCAAAAGAGCATAAATGAATACAGCTCAAACGCCTAGAATAAAGATTAATAAAGTTTGGTTATTGATGATTTTGCAGACTAGACATATATTACACCTGTAGGCTGAAGGCAATAACTCGTTCAAAATATTATAGATTTCTATATTTTTATTTCTTCATCATAATTACTGATATCTATAAATGGTAAGAACCGAAGATTTTTTACAACCTACAAGGATTCGTAGCAACAATACTTAGTGTTGTCTTTTTCAGAGGCCATTAAAAACAGAAAACATATGAGCAGGAAAATAAAATAGAAATGCCACTTACTTTGTGTTATATGCTAAAAGGAAAAATAGGCAATACAATAATAACCAATAAGAATACTAAATTAACGGAATACAGCGAGCTTGCTTCAAATCCCCATGAAAGAAACTTAGTTGTGGGGTAAAGTTATGATAGTTTCTCAAAACCAAGCATTTCAGAAAATAATGACAATGATAACAGATGAAGAATACACCTAACAGCATAGCAGAATAGCAATGAAAGTACCTGGTATCCATTCCATTCCGCACTTTGGGAAGGAACCCCTTGATTTGGTGGAATCATCATTGGCACAAAGGGAGCTGGAGCTGGCTCATTCAATGGGTGTCTTGGTGCAGACCAAGAAGGTATAGTTGACTGTGCCGCACCTTGAAATGGAACTGGTCCACCATTACCGAATCCTGCAGAAGTCTCCCCGGCTGCATCTGTGGGATCAGGGTGATTAAATCTGCAGTTTGTTCCATACTTGCAGGAGCCAGTTCGCATGTAATAGGGGCATTCTTTCTCCCCCTGTGATAACATACCATACATATGACCAAATGTAAATATCACATAAACTTTTGACCTTGAATTATTAATAAAGACATATCTATCATTCCTCAGCCAAGGTCATAGAGAGATTAAGAAAACATCTCAGACATCAGGCCGAGAAGTTATACCACTCGGATTGGCAGACCGACAAAGTTAAGCTCCGCAGCTGGTGCAACAGAAGTCTTTCCTCTGCTGTGGTTATATTTACAAGCTTTTCCAAATTTACATCCCCCTGATCTTAAATAATACTGCAAGACGCTCAAGATTTATAGCATCACAAAAAGTAAAAAACGGCTATTAGCCCACAAACACATTCAGCTGAATACATGTTAACTCTACACAAGGAGACCAAAACTGCCCGTGAAATCTAAAACATGGTCATATGAATAATAACAGTCTCTTCAAAAACGTAAATAAAAGGAACAAACTAAAAAATTCGTGAAGCATTAGAGAAATATGATCAAAATGATAACTTGCAATATATATGCAGACTTAATTTCTAGTAGTAATAAAACCTTGCATTCTGACTGGCCAGGCTTCTCTGTTGATTCTTCCCATTCCTTTGCCTTCTCCTTAGAAGCCTTCAATACGATGAATACACAAACAAAGTGTGTTCAGTAGAAAAATACACAAACAAAAGATCTTTATCATACACACACACACACACACACATATTATAATCAGAAAAGCAAAACCATATATCTTCGAGATTAAAAACTTAAAAAAAAAAAAAAAAAAAAAAAAAAAGCGCAATTTTGAGGAGAAATTTCCTCAAAATAGCTTGAAATATAGAAATATGTCAGTGGTGGTACAATATTTCTGCTACAAAATTGACATCATAGCACAACCTTCATACAAACAGACTCAAGAATCTCTTTTTCGGAGCTGAGAAACTGACAATAACGAAATGAATAAAGAAGACGAGAAAATACCTGGTTATTCTTCCTTCTAACCGGATGGTTGAACTTGCAATTGGATCCAAACTTGCAATTTCCAGTCTTGAGGTAAAAGGAACAATCTTCAGCCTCGGGCCTCACAGGATACTGGTACTTTCTACCGCCGCCGCCGTTCTTCTCCGCTTCCGCTTCACCACCGCCATTGTTCACTCCATCATCATTCTCAGTCTCATTCCCATTCTTGTTCTCGTTCTCTTCTCCTTTTTCGCCATTGTCGCTCCAATGATTCTCCGCTTTCTCGGCCTCGCCTTGGTTCCCGATTTCTCCAATCCAATCATTCTCCCCGATTTCTCCAATCCAATCATTCTCCGCTTTCTCCGCCTCGTCTTGGTTCCCGATTTCTCCAATCCAATCATTCTCCGCTTTATCGGCCTCTTCCTGGTTCCCGATTTCTCCAATCCAGTCATTCTCTCCTCCGCCCAAATCCCCCTCCTTCTCACCTTCTTCTTCCTTATCTTCCGAATCCGATCTCGGGGCCTCTTCGCGCTCCTTCAAATCCAAACTCCGGAGCTCATCGTGCAGTCCTCCGGTGTCCTCGGCCGCCCCCGCGGGTTCGAGATCGGAAGTTGCAGGATCGGGATTGGCATTCGGAGAAGACGGGGAATGGTGAGGCACTAGGTCGGCGTCGCCTTGGTGCTGTTCGGAGGGGTTTACAGGGACGGAGATTTCTTCAGAGGGCTCCATTCTCCCTCCACATTTCAAAACCCTAACTTTGCAATGAGAAAATGAAAGTGGAGAGAGAAAGAGAGGGGGGAGAGAGAGAGAGAGAGAGAGATGAGATAGGAAAGAGGAAAATTTACTCAAAAAGAAGTCCTTTGATTTATTAATATGTCCCGAATTTATTTTTCTATTCATTTAACAGGATAAAAAAATAAATTTGGGATATATTTAATTAAGTTAGTTAAAAAAATATTAATTAAAAGAGAGTAAGAATTTAGACGGTAACTTTATCAATTTTCTCATCCAACTATTAAGAATTTTTTTAATAAGCAATTATTATAATTTCAACATAAAAAGAAATGAATTTCTCCTACAGATCCTAATATGTAAAATTAACAACAATAAAACTACACACGATCTTTATGTGTCTTTTTTATCGAGAGTTTAATAGACATGAGGACTAATTAATTTGTGGTAATTTTATAGATTAGGAACTAATTTTAGGATGTTTAAAAAATCAGGAATTAAGTTAAAATGCTTTGAATGTCAGGAATAAAAATGCTATTTATTCTATAGTTCGAAGAATAAGAATAACCCTTTACTTATTCATTTGTTTGTTTCTACTTCTTTGTCTGTATTGTTTATTTTTGCTCAAAAGATCTTCACTTTTCTCAAAAGAAATTGATAGAAAATTTTTGAGATTTAAAAAAAAAAAAGGGATAGGAAATTTAAGTTTTAGACCTCAATATTAATTACAAGAGTGTGAATTTAACATTAGATTAAGTCCGCCACCAGAAAACCTCAAAAATTGTTGTTGAAATGAGGTGGAATATAATATGTAAAATTTGTTATATGCTTTCTTTATATATATTTTTCACGCAATTTATGTAGAGAAAACGTTAAATTGACTTTCAAAAATAAAAAGATATACACGTCTTTCTTCAAGGAAAAAAAAAAAGATTTGCATTGTATTTTGGCTGATGAAAAGGATATACATTTTTAAAACCCGTTCATTTCACTAATTCAAGTTTAAAATTTGAGTTTTGTTACAGTAAAAAGCTCTCAGAAACAGTCACATTTAACTTTTTTATTACAGTAAAAATTTCTCATATAAAATTACATCTCAATTCAAATCAACAAACTAAACGAGCTTTAAATATATCGTCTTGCTAGCTCATCCCTTCTTTTCTGAGCCAATTTCCTTTTTCGTTTTCTTTCCTTTTTGAAGGAATTCAAAGCCTTTATGATGAATAAAGGAGAATGGCAAAATATTCTTTCCGCAAGTTAAAAGCTTCTTTTCACGTAACATCTATGTCAAAAGAATCAGGCAATGTATAAATAATGTCAGCTGAACTCTGAAGTATAATTTAATCAGGATACCAAAGATTATTTGCGTGTTTCTTTTTCAACCACTAATTATTAAATGAATTAAACAATAGAATTAAATCATTTTAAATTGGTACCAAACTGGTTCACGTTTTATTTTTTTTTTTTTAAAGAAAAAATCACAGTTTTTTTTCTTTTTTTTTTTTTTCATAGAAGGGTTAGGAAAATGCTACTTTAAATTAGTAAATACAGATTTGTTTCCAACTTGATTTCTTTTTTTTTTTTTCCTTTTCTGTGATACAGTTTTTTTTTTTCTTTGGGGACCTTAAGCTAGTGAATAGTGATGCATGCATTGAAATTTTAGACCCTTTTTATTGCGTGTAAAAGAGAAATTGGCTTGCATGCCACAATTATTGTATGCCTTTACCCTAAAATATACCACAACATATTTATGGTTAGCATTTTTAAAAGGTACGGCATCAAATAAATCGATATCACACCTCTCAGATATGGTACGACATCAAATAATTTTAGTACAAGTACTGACAGAGTTGTTCGGTTTAGCTCCTCTGTCGTTTTTCTTTTTTTTTTTCCTTTTTTTTTATTAATAAAGTTATTTCTCATAGGGAAATCGGGGGTAAAACTTTGTTAGTGCTTTTGAGCATGCATTGCAAGAACAGTGTCAAAAGCCGTGAAATGAGACATCACAAGGTCACGAGACTCATGGAAGAAAATTTTTTGCCAATTATATTGCATCACATTGCAGGCTCAATCAACTCTCTCCTCGCAGTATTTTTCTTACAAAAAAATTAAATTTATATTCAGATTTTCTGTCCAAACATACCGAGCTATTCTCCTGAACTCGATTCGTACTCCTTCTCCTGAACTCGATTCGTACTCCAGCCAGTATCAATGAACACGAGGCCTATTTTTTCTGCCAAAAAGAGGAAAGGGTGAGTGTTTTAGCCCATAAAATTTTAGCACTAATTCATGAGATTAAGGTGCTCGTTCCATATACTCAAACTCAAATATTTGATTTGCTACAATGTTTTCCTCTCACAAAAAATTTAAATTTAATAGTCATAATTAAAAATTATAGTTTAAGGGTACATTCCAAACGAGCTTCTAAAACTCCTCGGGATATATATAATTGCTCTAGAGATTATGAAGTAAGATTTTATAACTCTTTGATATGAACCAGTAATTGATTAGAAACTTGTGGTGATGGGCCTTAAGTAGGGATAGATATTTATGTAATTTAAGTTTTGAAATGGTAAGTTTATGTTGATAAGAGGGTTTACTACCAATAACTAAGAAAAGATTAGCATCTGATATCCATTAGAGGAAGAATGTGTCCAAGATCCAAGCAATTGCTCTTCTTGCAGTAAATGAATGGGTCCAATGAAGACCCTGGGCAAATCAGAATTTACTGTTAATTCTAAAATAAGCAAATACAAGGAAACCCTAACTTTTGAGCCTAGCCCTAACCTTGTCAATTCAACAACAGATTTCATTAGCCAAAGTTACATTACACCTGCTCTTCCGCTGTCAAGAATCATCTTGCTTTCTTCACCGAATGGCCAGTCTTCCGCTTGTGGCGGCTGAAATCCGACACAAATCTGAAAGTCTGCCCACAGCCTGGCTCAGCACATACATAAGGACGGGCACCTGTGTGAACCCGTATGTGTTCAGTCCGAGCCCATGCCCACTTAAATGTCATCTTGCAACCCTTCCATGGGCACCTCAAAGGACGGTCATCCATGTGGACTCGGCGATGCTGCACCAGATATTTATGCGAGAAGAACTTCTTTCCACACCCCTTGACGGGACAAATGTTCTTTTTATGTAGGACAAGCTCTTGTTTCGTCGAAAAACTCATGGTGCATCCCTCAATGTCACACATGTATTCTCCTTCCTCATCTTTTGATTTTGCATCATTGTGACCAGCCTGAGCCTTCACAACTACAGCATTCTTCACCTTTTTCCTGCTCGGCTGTTGCTGCTCCTTCCGTTTGGCTCCAGTCAACTTTTGGGGCTTAGGGTTTCTTTTTCTCAGGCGAGTACTAGGTCCACCTTCTAGCTCTTCTTCAGCGCATGAACCTAATATGTTCTGCTCACATTGACTATTTCGAAGGCGTGGAGTCTGCTGCTTCAATTTCCGGTTTTCTTGTTTCACAGGCCGTGCAGTTGATTGCTTCACATGATGAGGGGTCTCTTGCTTCATTTTCTGCTGCAAGGCTGATTTTGTTCGCTTGCTTCGGAGAATCCTCTCATCCGATTTACGAGCATTATCCTCCAATGGTTCATCCAGATCTTCATCTTCTCTCCCGATGGACTTGGCTGGCTTGCTCTTAGAAATTCTCCTATGCAACTTCTGTAAATTATTCCTGTGAAAATAATCTGAACTTGAATCTTCTCTCTCATTGTACTTAGCTTGCTTGCTTCTAGGAATACTCCTATGCAGCTGTGAATCACTATCCAATGAGTCATCTGAAACTACATCTTCTTCTTCAGTATGTTTGGCTTGCTTAATTCTACAAACCCTGCCACGCAGTTGATGGGAATCACTATCCAAGGAATCATCCGAAACCACATCTTCTCTTCCTGCATGTTTAGAGGGCTTGCTTCTGAGAATCTTTTTGTGCTGGTAACGAAAATCAACTTCTAATGAATCATCTGAAACTATGCCATCGCTCTCAACATACGTGGCTTGTTTGCTTTTAAAGGTTCTCCTATGCTGCCTATGGGAATTATCATGCAGCGAATCATCTGAGGCCGCACCTTCTATCTCAGTGTGTTTAGCTTTCTTGGCTGACCCACCGCCAATACTTACAGCTTGCTTGCTTCTGAGAGACCTTCTATGGTGCTCATGAGAATCATCCATTGAATTATCTGAAACTGCATCTTCTCTCTTGACACGTTTGGCTTTCTTGGTTGACGAGCTCTCTACTGTCATTTTCCTCTTCCTGACGTACTTTTTAGCAATCATAGTATTACTACTTTTGCGTGTGCCATCGTATTTTCTCTCGACCTTCTCATCTGGTGTTGCCCAAGTATGGAAGCTTCTCTCTTGTTCTTCCTCTTCAGGATCCTTTTTTGCTAGAAAGGGATGAACCTGACTTGACATCCAGACTTTACCACACCATTTCCCTGCCACCACCTTTTTCTGCTTGGCAGGTCTCCTTTCAAATCCATCAGATCTTGCGGATGAGCTAGCAGGAGAACTGCGACCAAATGCATCATATATAACAGAATTATATGGCATCTGCTTACTATAAAGAGGAGAGCGGCTGAGGTTGGCACTATAAAAAAGATTGATTCCCAGCTTCACAGCCCAGTCCCCATTCTTAGGGATGGCTTCTTCACTATCCAGAGTTGCCTGGATCATGTTCTCATCATCTTTGGTGGCATCCCTGAATTCAATATCATTCCAGAGATGACTGATTCCCAGTTCTTCTGCCATTGCCTTTGCTTCAGTCTCTATCTTTGGATAGTCTGCAAGTGTTTCCATGGACGCCCAAAATGATTAGAGGGGAATAGTAATTGATAGCTGTAATGGGTAAAGCTACCGAACAAAAATTTTGGAAAATACGAAGCATGTTAATTAAAAGAATCCACGCTCGTGTATGCAACTGTTTCTCGTGCTTTTGCAACACATAACAAGTTTTCATTGACGCAACAAAAGGAGGAGAATAGAAAAATAAAACCCATGAAAAAAATGTACCCAATTTTCTAAGAGCATGAGAAGCACAACACACCTGGATGACAAAGGAGTACTATGTCGACACATCCTACTTGACGAAGTTGCTGTTCTACTTCTACAGCATGCTCCAGACAGAAGACATGCATTCTACAAGAGTCTTCATCACATATTGGAACAAATGGCATGTTTTCGTTCTTTGTTGGTGCAATGGCCTTACAAAATCTCGTTGCTTCAGCATCGTAGGTATCCGGGGAACACGTACGTGAAGCTTTCATACCATCCCCAAATTTTGGGACCAAGCCATTTGATTGTGCTGGAGCAGCATTATTAGTTCGAAAACTAACAGGGCAGTCAAAATTTTGATGACTGTCATACTTGGTGTTATCTTTGTTATGTCCATTTTCCATATAAGAATCAGCATTTTGAGAAGCAAAATCATCCCCAGAATCAAGTTCTACTAAAGAGCGACCATGAACTGTATCACCCTGGCAGTTTCGGAGAGAGGGGCTGGAACTCTCACAACGATATTTGCTTTCCAAAGAACAATTTGATACATTAGTTTCATTTCCATCAACTGAAACATCTTCCTGGACCTGATCTTCCTCAGAATCTGACGAATTTCCATAATTCAAAGCTAATAAGCCAAGTGCAGAAGGAGCTTTTTGTGTCTCGGTGTTTGAAACTATTTCGTTCTTTTGATCTGCCATCTGAGCTTGGAAATTAACGGATTGGCCAGGGTTTTCGCATAAAGCAAGAGGCTCACTATTATCTGTCCATCCTGCTTTTAAAACAGAGTAAGTGAAGTTCTTGACTCATAAAGAATATGGCAAGAATATAAGGAAACTGAGAACAGTACCCAAATCATTGAGTTTAAAGTTTGTACTGAAATAAAAGTTACACTACATGATTATGTCTGATCTTATGCAAACAGAAATTAAAAAACACTTCCCATACTAAACCAACCTGTATAGGTATTCTCTTTTGAAGCTGTCTGATACCTATTAGAAACAGGGAACACGTTACTAGCTACTCCAGCATTTACCACCCAATCGTTAAAAAAGCTACAGTCAGCTGACATCAGATATCTGGCCGCCGGCTCCCTTGGCTGAATTATGGCAACACAAGCAAAGCTCAAAATTCCACAGGTGACACAAGAAAATAGTCTCTGGTCTGATAACCCATCATTGTCAACAGTACTTTCCCCTTCAACGTTCATGTTTGAAGTCTTCGAATTTGAAGCACATGTAATTTTATTTCCACGTAATGAGGGAACCCAGCTCCTGTCACATAAAGAAGCAAGTTTTCCTTTCACTGAATAGAAATCTTTCACTTGATCGACCTCCTGCTTTCTGTCTATCATCAGATCATCAGAAATCAAACTTCTTGAGGATTTCATTTCTTCCCTAGAATTGCATGAAGCAAGGGGAGAACTGGAGTTTAACCTTAAATGGGAACCAACACGCAATTTCGAACAGACAGAAATGTCTGAAGAACTCCTAGGAAGAAGTACAACGGGAGACCCGTTTCCAAGAACATGAAGTAGGTCATTATTCTGTAATACATTCTGGACAAATAACTCTTTTACCACTGTCTCTCCTTCACCCTTTTTCTTATCTTTTAATCTAGAACTCCGTGGTTCAGCACCAACGCTCTCAGGTATTCTACATTGAGAACAGGAAAATGGAGGTAAACACATGCAAACAAGTGAATAACTCATCTTATCCTTGATCCTAGGGCAGAAAATATGTTAGAAAAAGGTAATTGAACACACCTTGAACACAAGGCAAGAGCAAGATCATAAAGTAACTGGAAGTGAGACACCATTGGTGGATAGTTAATCGAAGCTCGTCGGATAGCAGCATCTTTAGCAACTCTTAACCATTCAGGAGTGGCAATATTAGCTGCTTCCCCGCAATTGAATCCTAATGAAAAAGTTAAATTGTTAAAATAGATACACTGATCGGATAACAGTAATTTTGAAAGGACCAAATTGAAATTTGTAGGTCTCTCACCATGACTAAACCCAGTATGATAGGCTCTTGGGAAAGTGACAACAAATTCACCAGGATTTTGCACTAGCCTAATTAAAAAGCAATTAAAGAAGTAAGAGCACATAGATACACACTAGCCACTTAATTTATTCAAGGAAATGTCACAAATTTTTTAGGAAATAAAGTTTTAGGACTCATGCAAATATGTTTCCAAAAGATGGATGTCTTTCGGAGATAAATCAGAAAGGGTGTTATAAGAAAATATTAAAAAAAAAATCAGTCTTGAGATTGTTGCTTATGTGATACTATCAACGTGATACTATCAGCAGCATTGACGATTGAGACTGTATCACATGTAATTCAAACAGATGGAAATAAAATGACATAAAATCGGATTTTAAAGAAAGAAAATGGCATCTTTAACTATGAAGGCTAGCCCAAAAAAGGAAAGAGTTTATCCTTATTGGAAACAGGTCAAGCGGAAAGTCAGAACTAGAATAGTAATGTAAAAGCACCTGCAGCACGGAACCCCTGCACGAACAAATACTTCAGGTGACATCACCGTGGTCTTCTCACCAAGAATAGAAAAAGTGACTGTGTGAAGAATAAATAAAGAATCAGAGGTTAAAAGGTAAAGATGGATATAGAAGGGCAAAAAAAAAAAAAAGTATGATAACGCGAGAGCAGTGATACTCTGTTCCTACAATGCATTCTATCAAGCATACAAAATGATACTTCAACCTCCAAACAATTTAGCCCACATACATTTCTGACAAGGCTTAACCTCATAATTCGCATATAATACGATGTCATTATATGCAATACTACGAAAACATACCGAGAATCATCAAGATATGCTCTTCTGCAACTACATTCTAAAGTCTTATCTGTTTCAGTTATCCATCCCACTAGATAATCTTCTTGCTCTTTCGCTTCCTAACATATGACAAATACATTCAACAGTGTCCAATAGAACTTAATTCTATGCATACCCAACACCATTTGAAACAGAACACTCTGCAAACATAAAACAGGGGATGCTCAATCATGGGTTCTATACAATTCATAATAGTACTGAGCTGAAACTCACCAAGAGGATTGATCTCTCCGCCATAGCCGTGAACTCTGACGACCTCCTCGAACGCAACGGCGGCTTCCCTCGGCACGCCGTACCACGTCTTCCCTGCGCCCATATGCAGGTAATTCAAGCTGTGCAAGTCATGGTCCTCCACATGCCAAGCGAACCAGCTGAACATCATCGCCACATACACCATCGGCGACGTGACCCCCGGAATCTCCTCCTTCATGAACCTCAAGAGAGAACCTTTTGCCCTAGAAACCGCCCTCATATTCCACGCGGTCTCGCCCAAGGTCGCGCTCTCCCCTGCCTCCCTACTTCGCTTCGCGCTCACCGGCACGAACGCCGAGCCAGGCATGTCGTTGGCGTACTCCACGGAGAACGGCTTGTCGACGGTGGCCTTCCAGTACAGCGTCTCGATTTCCAGAGGAGAGAGCGCTCCTTTCTTCGCGCATCTCTTAAAGAAGCTCCTCTCGAAACCCTTGGCCTTGGCCTCAAACTGCTGGAAAGTGTAATTCTCGCCGCTCTGCCACACCGGCCGCTGGACCGGACGGGGTTTCCTAGGGCAAAACCCGATCTGCTGCTGCCGAGTGGTGAATGTGGGAGGATTCTTCGGATTCGAGGCGTCAAAGCCGCCATTGCGAGCGGCGAGGGACTTGTTTAGGTTGGCAATTACGGTCTTCTTCGCCGAGGGAGGCACCGGAGGGACGATTTTGCAGATTCCGTACTCGGAAGCCTCCTTCTCGATCTTGAATATGTAGGAAATCGGATCTTGGAACTCGGCCAGAGTAGGATGGTACTCGGGAGCTTGGGGTAGGGTTTTCAGCCATGAAAACACCTCCGGTGAAGCTTGCTCGGAGGTCAAACCCGAAGCTGCCATTAATGGATAGCTACGAACTCTCTCTGAGATTTGGGTTTTCTGTCATTCATTCAAAACCCCATTGCCAAACAGAGAGAGAGGGGAGCGAGAGAGAGAGAAAATAAGAGAGAACCTGTTCAGATTCTATTATGCTCCATCTGATTTTTGCCCTTTTTTTTTCTGTTTTTTGGGTTTTTCAATTTCCTCTGTATTTTATTACCAGATACGGAGGAAGAGAAAAAAGAAAAAACAAATTAGTGCAAGTGTTAAGTGAGTGGGGGAGTGATTAAGAGAGCAGAATGGAGGTAGACATGTGAGTAGGTTTTTTAATTTTTAATTTTTAATTTTTCTTTTTCTTTTCTTTATGCTAACCACATGAAAATGACATTGTTTTGCGAGTTATTTACTGTTCTGCCATTTCTTATAATTGTAGAATTTTAGGAATTGTTTAGTCGGTGGATTCGAATTATAGTTCATGGTTCGCTACAGTGTTTTTTCTTACAAAAAATACACGTAAATTGAAAATAATTTTAATTCATGAACCAAACGTCTCCTTAGATAGAGTACACTAACTGTGATCTCAATTATTAATTCGTACCAATTTATATGATATAGAGTTTTAATTTAAAATTACGAATAAAAAGATGATAATTCATATATCATGTAAAAATATAAAAAAATTGAGATTAGAGTTGATGTCTCTAATATTATTTTTTAACTAACATTTTAGTAAAGCTTGTATTGCATTAGAATTATATCATATAAATAGATAAATACAAAAATTGGATGAATATTTGATAGTTCGCCAAATGTGGTTTCACAATTTTGAGAAAAAAAAATGCTTTTACAGTAAATTTTGTGGTGGGCTATAAAACAATGCATTAGTAGTAGTATATAGTTTTAAACCGTTATCATAATCCTATCAAATCAAAAAAAAAAATGGTAATTTAACGACACTTAATGACAATCTCATGGTTAATAAATGTGTCTAAACTGACGGTCGATAAAGTATTTTTCATCTAACCTACAAAACACTCTCTTTTTTTATATGTTACGAATGAATTTGATTAACCAATTGGTGGAGCTTTGCCGTCATTTTCTTCAACTTTTTGGTGGTTTTATTTGTTCCGAGAGAAAGAAAAATGGAAAAAATATCACAAATTTTGTCAAAATGTTTTCCCTACCGTTGAGCCAAAGAAAATGGTTTTTCTTGCTGCCTAAGATTTTATTATATTGATACGTATTGATGAATGGAAAGTGAGAGCCATTGAGATTGGTTCGTTTTGACTTTGACTCTTACTCTTAGTCAAATGAGTCAAATGAGTAAAAAGAGGCTGAGATGTCAATGGAATTGATAATGGCTATGTACTTGGATAAACTGTTTGATAATGGCTCTGTACTTGGCTAAACTGCCACAGGGATAAATTAATGCCATCAACTTATAAAAAAACGAAATTTTTTTTTGAAAGTCTACGATAGAGTGAGCCAATTCGCCCGGTTAAAATTTAAGAGGACGTTTAGTTTACGTATTTAGAATCATGATTCAGAATTATTTTCGTTTTACGTATATTTTTTGTAAGATAAAACATTGTAGAGAATCATGGACGAATATAGGAAACAAACGTCCCCTAAGGCTCCATTCATTTCACCGATTCAAGTTTTCAGTTTTAGGTTTTTACAGTAAAATATTTTCAGAAAATGTCACGTCTAATTTTTTCTGCTACAATGAAAAACTCTCAGAAAATATTACATATCAGCTTGAATTGAAAACTCGAATCCGCAAAGTGAATGAGGCCTAATGGATCATATTAGATTCTAGTAGAGGTGCACATACTCCCTCCCACATCATATTATAACTTAAATACATTAACTTTTTTTTTTAACATTCACATATGATCACAATCTTACATTTCACCTTCTCTTATGCAGATTGCGCTCCCTCGCCGGCGAACTTGCAGGCTTCTCCCCCGACAATGAATTCCACCTTCTCCGTTGCAGATCGCGCACCCTCACCACGAACTCGTAAAGTCTCCACAATCATCCTCTGGATCGCTAATGGAGTTCTCTGCCTCTCTCTCGTCGAGAACCTCAACCACCACTCTCTAACCATCGTCGTAGTGAACTCCCTCCCACATCATATTATAACTTAATACATTAACTTTTTTTTTTAACATTCACATCTAATCACAATCTTACATTTCACCTTCTCTTTTGCAGGTTGCGCTTCCTCACTAGCGAACTCGCGGGCTTCTCCCCCGACAATGAATTTCACCTTCTCTGTTGCAGATCGCGCATCCTCACAACGAACTCGTAAAGTCTCCACAATCATCATTTGGATCGCCAATAGAGTTCTCTGCCTCTCTCTCATCGAGAACCTCAACCACCACTCACAGTGAATTCATACGAGAGAAAACATTATAATTGAAAAGGAAAAAAAAAAAAAACATGAACCTTACTTAATCGTTTCTTTCTCATATGCTCTTAATAAAAATTCTAAAAAAAGAAATTAAATTAAATTAGTTCAAAATTTAAGAAATAAAGTAAATTTAAAATTTTAAAGAATAAATTGAGAATGATTCAATTGTGAGACACACACATAAGAATCATTCTAGAAAAATGATTATTCATAAATTAAAAAAAAAACTCGTGTAATAATTATTTTACCCATTTTGTTTTCCAGTAACAAAAGCAAGTAATTCAATTATTCCTTTATTCTGCCTTTTATCTTTTGTGTGTTCTGCCTTTTTTTGGTTGATCACACCTCCTCTTAAAATAGTGTTGACAAAGATAAGGAGAAGCCTAAACATTGTTGAGAAAGTTATGTTTGACCCCTGATAAAAAATAAAAAAAAAGTTATGTTTGACTGTTGGTATTGGCCGAAAAAAAAAGTAAAAATTACGGCTGATAGGATAAGATAGCAGGATAATATTATATATATATATATATATATAGAATGAAAGGTGCATTTTTTTATTTAAGATTAGAAAAAACGAACTATTAACAATGTAATCAAAAATTATATTTTTTATGCACATATTTTTTAATTTTATGTAATTTTAACTTAAATTCAATGTTTAAAAAACTAATCTTATCAATTTGTTGGCCCAGTAGAAAAATCTCATTAAAAAGTAGTTTTACTCGTGATTATA